GGGCTAATCAGGTGTCATGGGTGGCACTTGCCACCCTGGCCACCCCTCTGGCTCCGCCYCTGTACCAACACCCTCCTTGTTGYTCCTTAAAGCTGAGATTTGAATCTCAGATGCAAAAAAATCCATTTGACTAAACTTTAGCTGTAAGAAAGAGGCCCAGATTCTCCCACAGCAACAGAGGCAAGTTAATGCCTTCTTTCCGGTTCATCAGCATTTGAATGTTCGTCCTCAACGGCTTCTAGTAACATCTCGCTTTCCTGAACCCACACACACACACACCAACAAACAAACAAACACACACAATCATTTTAAACTGGCGTCCCACTGAGGGTAATGGACAATCAAAAAAAAAAAGCTACATCCGGGCCACCACAAGAACCCAGGAGCTCCACTGAGAAGCACAAAGGAGGAGCTGGCAGCCCGGTCCAGACCCGGTCCAAACCCGGTGACAAGAGAACCATGAGCTCATGGGTCGGTTAGGATGGCGAGCTGCCAGCTTCAGCTCTGAGACTTCAGCCTGCAGAAGGTTTGACTCGTCAACCTTTTTCACAAAACAGCTTTATTATTTGTGTCTCAGAGAGACTGGAGTGTTGTTAGAACAGTGAGAAAACTGACTAATAAAAACTTTCTTTTAAATTAAGTTGACATTTTCATAATGACTTGTTTTCATTTACTTGTTCCAATTTATATCAGCTTTATTATAAACAGAAATATGATCTTAGTACAAACATGTTGATCTGAGCTTGTTTTACCAGATTACTTTCAGGATTTATTTCTTTTAAAGCGACAAAGGTCAAGTTCAACCTGACTTTTTATTCTTCTAGACAACATGATTCTTGATTGAACCTGTCTGTCAGGAGCCAGAGGTCAGAGGTCACGCTGCAGCGACTTCATCTCGTTTCTGGGTGCGACTTTTGAAGGCTCACATCATGTGTGACGAAAAGAACACACGGGTTCCTTCATGAGTGATGCATGAGCCCTTTGTTCTCCTCATGACTCTCCCTCCATCAGTGCTTTTCTCTCTGAGTGTTTATAACCGGCCCACGCTGCAGCCCTGCTCATTGTGTTGACTTTTTTTTGGGTGAAATAACAAAAATAAATAAACAAAAAAGCATAATTCCTGTCACGTGCACCTTGAAAGCCTGATGACTGACTCTTCTAAAAAAAAAGGGGGAACAAAAGAAGCCAAGGAGGAGGAGGGGAAAGAGGTTAGTCTGTAATGTAACATCCCAACACCGCCTCCTGCATCAGAGGCTGCAGCGGTGAGGAGGCGCGTTGCTATGGAGTGGGAAGATGTTCAGAGCAGTACAACTATTATGGGTCTGATTGGAGGAGAGAGGAGAGGAGAGAGGAGAGAGGAGAGGATAATCAAGATCTGGAGAGAAATATAGGGGGAGGTCAAGACAGAAGGGAGGACAGCGAGAGGAGAAGAAGCAATAAAGTTAATGTGAGGAGGGCAGAGGTGAGTGGACGAGRAGGTGAGAAAATGAAAGTCAGAGGGGTCACAAGAACACAATCTGGTAAAGTGGTTCATGTCAGTCACCTCCATTATGTCTGAACTGAAAAAAACAACATTACCAGGATGACAGATAACCAGAATTTGCATCAAATCCTCCAGCTTCTGCAGAACTCGTGAAATTAACCCTTCAGCTCCAAGAGTGGCAGCAGAAAAAAACAAAAAACAACAACAACCGAGCGCAGTCCACAGAGGATGAAGAAACACATTTCATCACCTAAAACTAAATGTTGAGCAGGAGACTGAACTCATGAGGCTGTGAGCGCCCCCTGCTGGTTCTTACAGGTAAAACCAAAGCTGAGAGCTCCTGTGTTTATTTGCAGCAAGAAATTTCAAAAACCAGATGACAGATAAATATGAAGTACTCAGAAAGTAATTAACTGATTTATACCTACAATCAGTTTTATTCAAGATGACTGCCACAGCTTAGCAACATCAATTAGCACAAAAATGGCTAAAACTCAGCTATTATAGCATTGCCATCAACTGCTGGAGTCACTTCTGTCTGTCAGCAAAATATCTCAAGAACCAGCAAACAGATTCAACTGAAACTATCTGGAAGTAATTAATAGATTTTTATGATTACAATGATTCACAATGGAAATCAATCCCATCCAAGATGGCTACCACAGCTTAGCAACCTTAGTAAAACAAAAAAATGATTAAAACCCATCTAATTTTCCAGATATTTGGCTCAAATTCAGCATGGTAGTAGTTGAGACTAATCCCCAACACACACTCATAGCACCAACTGATCAAGCAAGATCTGTTCTCTAAAATCTTTGCTATTAACTGTTGGGGTCAACTCAGTCTCTCTCTGTGTTTTATACTGATAATGAGGCAGTGTAGTTGAAGTTTACTTTTTACAAAATATATTTAATTTACTTCAGAATGGTATAGTGAAGTATACTTGGCTTATACTGAAAAGTATAAAGAGTGCAATGGCAATGTAGAGAAGAGTAAACATATGGTATACTTTAAATATAGTTAAAACTCATTAAAATGTGAACAGCAAACTTAAAGTATACTATTTATAAAAATGTCCCAATTTAGTCCAAATAAGTATTAAATCAGAATACTTTCCAGTGCATTACAAGTAGGCCACATGGTGTGTAGTATTGATATACTTATACTGAAGTATACTTAAAATGAACTTCAAACTTTTTTGATAACCCGACTAATAGAGCTTATGAAACACAAAATATCTACACTTTGGCTACAGAAACTGTTTCCTTTTTTTTGCTATTTTCCCCCCTTTGTAGACAAACTGGACTGAACTTTCTGAGAATTTGTCTCKCTTACAGATTTTTGTGACAAATCCTGATTTGATTGTTCATTTTCATCATTATTAGCTCTAAGCTGCTCTTGCCCCTTGCTTTGTTCTAATGTTCAGTGAGCAGTGATGACTTCACCGGAGGCTTCTCAGGTTCAGAGCAGCACTTTAGACAATTAAAAACACACCGAGGCCAGCCAAAGGAACACAGAAGCACAGGGTTGTTTTTGTTTTTTTTACCACACAGCAGATGAATATGAACATGTACTCATCTCCATCCAGTTCACTTACGGTTGAACCTCCTGCGGTAGACATGAGGCCTCCAGGGTCGGCTTCGGATCCATCTCAGGCGCCCAGGCAGCTCCATGTTGACCAGCAGGTGTGTAAAGTCCACTCACCCATCACAGAACAGCAGGTTTGTATTCTTCTCATCCCCAGGGTCGATGCTTCCTCCAGAGCATCAGCAGAGCCAGGCGCCTCCTCACCAGTGAGGGGGTTTAAATTTAAACGTCTGTCTCCACTCTGCAGAACAGGACAGGTACAGGAGGCAGCTGTGGCTACGTTTCCTTTCCACTGCTTCATCTTTTATGTATGAGTCGGTGGAACCCAACTCCCTCGGTTCTGAGGAGGAACAGTCAGGCCTCTCTGAGGTAAAAAAAAAAAAAAAAGCTTCTATCTATGAGCTGCATCTGAAGAGGAGAGAGCAGGACCTGGAGAAACGTGATCCCTCTGGGCTGATGCTCCCTGGAGGGGAGGTGTGTGTGTGTGTGTGT